CTCCTCCACCCCTGTTCCTCCACCCCTGTTCCTCTTCCCTCTGCTCCTCCACCCCTTGCTTCTCCACCCCTGCTCCTCCACCCCTGTTCCTCCTCCCCCAGCTCCTTTTCCCCCGTTCGTCTTTTTCCTTCTCTTCCTCCTGCTCCTCCTCCCCCTCCTTCTCGTCGCCGCGGAGACGTCGCTAGCCTTGTAATGCTCTCATTGCAACCGATGTCCTCCGTCTAGCCGCCTGACGCCATAGCCGCGTCGCGCCACCGACCTGGATGGGCAGAAACCCTAGCCCTCATGCCTGCCGACGATCGACTCCGTTCCCGAATGCACATCGTAACCATTCCTATTTATTTGCCACCGTCACTTCGTCGGTCAGTCTTCGAATTACGTTATCTTTCTCAATACTATCTCCTTCAGTTATATTATGGCTACTTACTGTAAATGGGATATCCTCATGTTTTCAATCAATAGATATTTTTTCATTTAAACGTCTTTTAACATCCATCGTTTTTTTCTAATATCGATGTTTAATACTCAATGTTTTTACATTGAGCATCTTTTATTATTGAATAAAAGAAGGACCCAAATATTGGTTGTAATGGTATAACCTGTTGTAATTGTCACACTTCTAAAATCACATTTCTTAGCACCATAATCACGATATCACTTGGTGAAGAGAAAAGAAAGAAAACTGAAACCTCTGAAAAGAAAGAGGAATTTCTACATTCGAAATCTCGCTTTTGTAGAGAAGCGGGTACACATTCCCTACTCAGATAAGTGGAGATTCCTGAATTCTCTAATATTAGTATTTGCTTTATTCACCTTACAATAAAGAGTTCAATATGTATGTATTTGGCATTTTCGGTCGATTGTCTGACTTTACCTGCCAACGAATGGTGTTTCTCATGCCTGGACCAATTTTCATTTTCACTTTTGGTGAGTAAAATAGATATGTAGCAAACATGACGTATTCCCTTCCCGTAACTAGCAAACTCCGCCAGCCTGTGATTTCCATCCTCACACAGCTACAGAAACTGACATGATTGTAAAGGAAAACTATAATTCTGTTTTTGCCCCGTCCAGGAATCAAACTCGGGATCGCGTCATGTGAAGCTAGCCCACTGCTCATGTATCACCATAGAGCTTAAAAGTTTAGTTAACTGGTTTATTATTTTGTCTGTTTTGTCAGTTAAACCTTCACTGCAGTTAAAGACGACGGCAAATTAAATCTCATTCGTCAAATTAAATCTCATCACACGAGCATAATGATTCCTAAACCATGTTTAAAAACATTCATGGATTTTTGGCGATGTATTATTAACATTCATTTATTCATACTGCACATTCATGTTTTGAATGTGTCCTTGTTTTGTTGGATTTTTCGCATCCCTACCATCCACGTTGAGCTGAATTTTTAAATACCTTCTCTGACACATTACGTTTATTCGTTTCCTATTCATTCCCCTTCGTCTTTTAATTGCTGTGATTTTTTCCGCCTTCTCCCCATCACTCTTCCTTCCAAACTCGCATTCTCCACCCCACCCCCCACCGGGAGAGTTGGATCACGGCATCAGTTGATGCCACTGAAATCCCTCTGACCGTTTTTGAGTCCCAACGGTGGCAGGATTTTCGTCACTAGCTTGTCAGCTAGGCTGAATCTAGTCGCCGTCTCGAGGAGAATTCTAGCGGCCCGCTGCTCTGATCGATACTTTTCCGTGGTTTCTCCGATTAACACCATGCGAATGACATCGCAATACTCTAACAAACGGGCCACGGACCGCAACCGCAAGCGATATTTCCTTGTCCTATTCTCACCCATACTTACACACACTTACACTAACATGCACTACACTACCACACATGCCGGGGGACCGATCGGGATATAGAGCTTGTGTGGGCTTGGGCGGTGCCGTGCTAATGGGAGATACCTGGTTGGGGGCAACCCCTCTAGCCAACGGTCGGGCGGCGTCGGATCTCACCATATAGCAGAAGAAGATCACAGCCACCTCCCGAGGAAGAACATGCACTTCACTTACGAGTTGTTGACGCGCCCGGAATCAGTCAGTCCGACTTACCTTCTGTCCGACTTCCGCTCGCTCCCTCTCGCCCTCTCGCCTTCTCTCAGACTCGCCATTCTTGTGTCTTTCTCACCGACACATACACACATGCATTATTCTACCGCTCGTCTTGAGATTGTTCGGCAACTTAGAGCTATTCCCGGCTGGGGCAGAGCTCGCTGGCGGATCTCACCATACAGCATGGGTAGACCACCGCCACCTCCCGAGCATAAACGTGCACTACACTTGTGGCACTAATGACCTTAGTACCAATAAAGGAAAACTTGACAAGACATGTAAGTTAGCGCCGGATCTCACATTCCAGGAGGAGCAACACCACCACCTCCGGATATACAACATACACCAGTTCCAAGCACGGGAACCAATACTCTCTCACTCACTCGCCTCCTTTGGCCTCGACTCGGCCTCTACCCCTCGTCCTTCTCCCAATGGACGTCGTTGCGCCCCCTGCGCTGCCTCTCTCGCATCCGGCCTTTTGCCGGCACTCGTCTTCCTCACCGGCGGCCCGTCTCGCCTCGTCTTGCGGCCGCCAGCCACCTGGAGCGGCTCCACACTCGCACGCTAAGACCGCAACCCCTCGGCGGCGAAAAGCCCGTCCGCCCCCCCTCACTACTCCCCACCTCCGCCCCCCCACGCCCCGCCTCGGCCCCATCTCTCTCGCCGCCCGCACCGCCATGCACCCCACTGCACCGCCACGTCCCCGCCCACCCCAGCTCGCCTCCCCACCCCACCCCGCCCCCGCCCGGCCCACCCGCTCCGCTCACGCCCTGCCTCCACCCTGCTTCCACCCTGCTCCCCGCCCCTGCTTCTGCCCCTTCCTGCCCTGCCCCACCCCACCCCCACCCGCCCCCGCCCTCGCCCCGCCCCCGCCTCGCCCGCCCTGCCCCGCTCGCCCCGCCCCGCCTCGCCTCGCCCCCGCCACACCCCGCCTTGGCCCCGCACCGCCCGCTCCGCCCCGCCTCCGTCCCGCCCTACCCGGCCCTGGCCCCGCCCGTGTCCCGCCCTCCCCCGCCCTTGTCCCCCCCTTGCGCCCTCGCCCCGCCCTGCACCCGCCCTAGCCCCGCCCTGGCCCCGCCCTGCCCCGCCCTGCCCCGCCCGTGCCCCGCCCTGCCCGCCCTCTGCCCCGCCCTGCCCCGCCCTTGGCCCCGCCCTCCCCGCCCTGCCCCGGCCCTGCCCCCCCTGCCCCCCCTGCCCCGCCCTTATGCCCCCCGCCCCCCTGCCCCGCCCTGCCCCGCCCTGGCCCCGCCCTGCCCCGCCCGCCCGCCCTTAGCCCCGCCCTTCCCCTGCCCGCCCTGCCCCGCCCCTCCCCGCCCTGCCCCGCCCTGCCCCGCCCCTGCCCCGCCCCTGCCCCCGCCCTGCCCCGCCCTGCCCCCTGCCCGCCCTGCCCCCGCCCTGCCCGCCCCTGCCCCGCCCTGCCCCGCCCTGCCCCGCCCTAGCCCCGGCCCTGCGCCCTCCGCCCCTTGCCCCGCCCTGCCCCGCCACGCCTGCCCTTTCTCCCCTCCCGTTCCCCGCCCACGCCCCCGCCACGCCCCGCCAGCCCACGCCCCGCCCGCCCCGCCACGCTTCCGCCCGCCACGCCCTGCTCCGCCCCGCTCGCCCCGCTCGCCCCCGCCCCACCCCGCTCCGCCCGCCCCCACCCCGCTCCGCCCTCCCCGCCCCACCCCGCCTCGCGTCCGCGCCCGCCCCGCGCCGTTAGCCGCCGTTAATTTCCTGCCGCAGGCCGCTTCTTAATCCTTTTAGAGGAGATCCAAGATTCGGGCGCGCGGGGGTGGCGGTCGGGGTCGCCCGCGGGCGCGCCGCGCCGCCTCTCCGCGACCAGCTCCGAATTTCGGGATACTTCTCAGAAGTAATAATTAAAAATAATGAATCAAAAGCTGCTTTACCGTCGGCCGTATTTTCTTTCATGGCGCTATTAAATAGAACGTCTTCCTCGACGTTTCGTTAACGTAATGTGTTCCTTCCCATCCCTGTCCTGGCCTTCCCCTGAGATGCTGCAGCTCCTGCTGCTTCTTCATAGGCCGCGCTCCGCGGTCGAAACTCCTCCAATCCTTCTCGCGTGGCCTCTTCGTGTTCCTCTCACCTAATGTTCCTGCCCTTCGGTTTTCGCTGAAAAGAGTGGTAGATGGAATTAAAACGCAGCTTTATCAAATTCACTATACGTTTGAGTGGGAAATAACTTATAATAAAAACAAATTATGGAACCGGTGCTACATACAAATAATTGTTGAGAAAATATTTTCTATTTCTTGGAATTTTATCAGTGTCAGGTTTATTTCATTTCATTCGACGAATGTCCTTCATTGTAAATACAGTTGATTGTCTGTGATTTCAAAATATTTGCCGTTTTGTACACTTGTATGTTTATAAATATAAGACATAAAAAACATTCCAATTGTTTTTATGATATGTTTGTCTGTGTGTTTCCCCGAGATCTCTCAAACGGCTGAATCAATTTCCGTTCGGTTTTCGCTTAAATGTAGTATGTATCGTCGGCTAAAATACTTCCGCTACTTTTTAAAAAAAATAGTTATTCGTTTTTCTTATATAAATAATAATTTTTTTTGTACAAATATAGTTGTATGCGTATCTTAATCAAATTTTGTACGCGTGATCATCAAAACAAGTTAAATATTAGTGTATACACGAAATTTCGTAAAATCTATCTCCCCGACAGTTTTCTTCCCCTTGAAGTAAAATTCAACTTCATTCCTCTTTCAACATTTTTTTAGATATCTCAAAAAGATGAGTAAATCCACTAAAGTCAACTCAACATTTCTAAAAGCCAAATAAATTTACTTTTGAATACATTCTACTTCATTTTGATATCGTAATTAGTCTGTGAGTAAATGAAGGTCAATTTTTTTTATTGCAAGTTTGCTTGGACATTGTTGCATGCAACAGTGAATCTGTTCACAACTGTTAATGGGTACGATGGAGGTAGCAACGATGAACAGACCAGTAATGGCGGTCCAGGAGAGGCGGGGCGAGACGAGGCAGGGAAATGAAGGACAGGGTGGGTGTGAGCGGGTAGGTCGGGGAAGGTTGGTTGAAATCGGGTGGGACGTGGAAGTGACGGAGCACGGCAGGCCAGGGTGAGGCAAGGCGGGACAGGGCAGAGTAAGGCGGGAATATACGATCGATATAATTTATTCATTTCCTGTCTAATAGAGAAGTTTGATTAACATATACTCAGACAACAGAAAATACTTCAAGACTCAGAAAATGCTTCAGCATAATGTAAGGTTATTTTTTACTTACATACAACATTCTTAAGCCTGTCCAACTCTTGATCGATTAAATATTGTTAGGTCCACATCTTTCCTGACGACGCCACTGAAAAATCTTTCTTTTGCGCAATTTCCACTAAGCTCACCAATTCATTGCCATTACACGATGTGTATATCAATCGATATACGGTTGGAAATCTTACAATTGTTAGGTTGGCAACAGATTTCATGAAATAATGTACGAAATCCGTATCAAAAATGTATATTATGGCAGAAATAGAACAATATGCTCATACTAACTACTACTCATACTAAAAGAGTTAATATCGAACAAATAGTTCAATTATAAAAAAAAACAATCTCACAGTTATAAACAAAAACCCTTAAAGCGAATTAACATAATCTATAGTAAATATAATAAAAACAAGAAACAGTATCAGATAAAACTGCTTCAAAATCAAACCACAATTCGAAATACTAAATACACGAACAATTATAACAAAAAACAGTGGGAAATGCAATAGAATAACACAGGTCTATAAAAGAAAATTTTTGTTACCTTTTTTAGATCCAATAACTGATTTTATATGTTTGAAGCGCAAGGATTACAGAAATAACTTCCATTGTGCCGCATCAAATCAGGTCTTAAAAAAAATTACAATTAAAAACCTTTATAATATCTTTAGCTTTAAAATCTGAAATCATTGATTATCACAAAATTGAGAACTGAAATAAAGTTACAGAAGTATCAAAGTACAAAAATGAAAACTAAACACATTAACTTAGGGCCTTTAGTGTTACCGTTACACTTTACTGTTAAAATCACTGTTTTCATTCGTGTCAACAGTCAATAGAACCGTTGTCGCTTAGAAAAATCTACTTGTTCCACTTGTTCTCTTGTGCACTCTTGTAGGATCATCTCGTTCAGGAACCAACAGTAGTCAGCCATCATTGATGTATTCCATCGTCCTTTGTAGCGCTTTTCAATGCCTTTAATATCTTGGTGAAACCTCTCGCCCTGTCCTTCACTCACTGCTCCCACGTTTCCTGGAAAGCAGTGGGAGTGAAGAAAATGCACTTTCAGACTCATATGACATCCTAAGGCTTCATATTCATTCGGCATATTATTAACAAAAATACTCATAGTTTGGATTTTCATAATTTCCCAAGAACTTATGAACCCTTTCTTTGATGTCAATCCAAGCTTCCCTTTCCGGAGGACTCGAACATGCTTCAAAATGTTCATCTTTAGCTAGTTCTCTGATCTGCGGCCCTAAAAAATACTTCTTTGGCGTTTCTTACTGATGAGGTGGGATATTTTTTGGTTAGGTACGTAAAGCAACTGCCGTTCTTATCCAGTGCCTTAGCAAATTGCTTCATTAATCTCAATTTAATGTATAATGGAGGTAACAAACTTTGTCAGGACCGACTAAGTTTTTTTATAATGTTCTCGGAACTTGGGATCAGTGTGTTTCTTATTGTCCATTCTTGTGTTGTCCAATGATTCTTTCTATCTCGGCTATCCCAATCGCATATATGACATGGGTACATGACAAAATGAACAAAATCTTTCAATCGCCGCAGATCTTTAAATCATCCTTTTATATTCCTCATAATTTATCTTTTCGAGTATCAATTTAAGATGGACAGAATGTGCGACTGGTACAGATGCTAAAGTGTTATCAATCTGTTGCAACACACCTTTTAAACTTCATTTACTTGAATCAACCAAAAGCCTCCATCCATTTGTTTTATACTCTCGTCCTAACTTATTTATGAGGTTTGGAATGTGAATGTAATATATCAAGGATTCTTCCTGATTAAATAACCGTACTAAACCTTTCTCCCTTTGTTTTAAATTGTAACATACTATCCTGAAGTTTGCTGCTTTCTTTCAGACGTGAAGGTAAAACTTCAGAAACATCCATTGAAAGATTTAAATCTCTGACCAAATTGTTCAATTCTATTTGTGTTAAAGGTATTGATTTGTGTTCGGTGCTTCTCCAATCAGATTCTTCAGCTGACTCGCCTGGCGTTGAACTTGAATCAGAATGCAGTACTTTGAGATTCCAAAGAGTTTATGGTATAGGAACGTCAGTGCCATGTGGTGCAGGCCTTCTAGCAGACTCCAAATCCGGATAAACCATTTCGTGTCTCTTCTTTGTATTCAACCCTTTTACTTTGCAAATACAAGTGCCTTCCTCTTCCCTTCGACCAGTTTCTTAACTCTGCAACACTGCAGACTGCACATAGCACACTTTATGAGGGGCGAACGGCTTATCCTGATCCCCCAGTTTCATTCCAAAATAAGCGTTATAAACACGTCTAACAAATCATGTAACGTCCACAAATATAACAAATTGTATTTCACACACTTTGCAAGGTATTTCAAACACTCTGCTTGAGATGCATTCGAATATCTTAATTAAAACTGGATTATTTCACTTTTACGGTGTGTCCAATATTACAAGTATGGAGCGATGTATACACGTACTCATAGGTCTATGAATATAATACTGTAACCTGCTGCCATCTGTGTTCTGTTACAAAATAATGCAAAATGATGCAAAATGAACTGACGCTATCATCTATCACAAATAATATATATATATATATATATATATATATATATATATTTGCGTTTCTAAATCATTGAAGAAAATGTGTATAGTTTACAATATGTTTTATCACAATTACTGAAATTATTGAAAAATGTGTTGTGCTTGAACAAAAGTAAGGGCATTACTGAATTTAGGTGACCAACTTACGAATAAAACAAGGGTCAAAATCAGAAAAAGAAAATCCATGTTGAACTGTGTAATCGATACGTATAATATATACGATATAATATCATACGATAAAATAATCCTTGGAACACTCTGGGAATTTAACAAACGAATTCTAAAACAAGATTAATAATCCTCTCATTTAATGCACCTACAAGCAAGTTCTGCTTCCCTTTAGAAAAATGAGAAATATTAGGATCCTTTGCTCAGTAATTTTCACCAAATCCATCTCTCTTAGTCACCCCGATCACAATCAGCCATCGCCCCTAAACTTCTACCTTCCGAACAAAATGTTCCTCTCCTGAAGAAATCAAATTCCTAATCATCTTGCTACGCAATAAAATGTCGCCAAAAATGACAAAATCTCTAACGCTATTTTCTAAAATACCCCATTAAACACCACAGCATTTATAAACAAAATATACAATTCAATTTTCAGATTAGACTATCGCCCTTTTCCCATGAAAATTCTCCGACATTATTTTGATACTTAAAACAAGAAAAACCGTAGCACATCTGACAGTTGCAGACCGATCAGTCTTCTCCTCAATTAGCTAAATTATTGGATTTTCGTTGTAAGATTAAAACAGTATACAAATAAAACCAAGGCATCCCTCACCATCAATTTGGATTCATCAATACCATCTCAGCAATTGCTAAGGGTCAATGATTTCATCCCGGAAACTTTGCATAAAAAGAACTTTACGATTGTCACCTGCCTACATCTAACCCAGACTTGTAACAGAGAGTGGCACAGCAACCTCTCCAACAGGTTAAAAACACATGAGCATCCCAGTCGACTTTCTCAATATAATGACCATTTTCCAAACAGACTGAACTACGGATGACAATATCACGTCAAACACCGGAAATATTCAGACAGATCTCCCCCAAGGACCTCCGTTATCCCCCACACTGAACTTGAATGTAGCTAACATCCCTGTGACCTCTTACATTAACATCGTCCAATTCGCTGATGGTGCCATTACATAAGGGTTCAGTTATTCAAACAATATAATAAAGAACCATCTTCAATATAACACTAGAACAATAGAACTTCAATATTACAATATAATAAAGCATCAATACAAAATAGATAAATGGTCCATAAAATGAAAACCCAAGCTCAATGCTTCAAAATCAAATGCATAAATATTTACCCTTAGACCAATTTTTACCTCTCCCCCTACAAATCATAAAACACCAATTCCTTTGTCCCCACTTACCAAAACATCCAATAGATATGACTTAATCTTTATACGAAGTTATAATGAAAATATCATATAAATGTAAAAACGCACCACGCCAAACTAAAAATCCTCCTACTGAAACCGCTAATACCTTCGAACGTTAAATTTCTCTGAACAATGCAATAACACTTTACAAACGTATTATCCGTCCAATTATGGTTTGTGCGTGCCCTATTTAGTTAAATGCTTTGAAAACTAACCTAAACAAAATCCAAAACCACATAAAATAAATACTTCAGAACAATAAAAAGGCCTCGTGGTTTGCATTGAATTTACAGCTGCATACAGAATTAAACATACCATACATAATACCATTCATTATCAGGATCTCAAAAAGTTTAAATTCATGCATCAACGAAATCGAAAAATTATCTCGATTAAACCTTGCTCAAACCTCATATTTCGGGAGAAACATTTTTAAAAAAAGGTTTCCGATAGACACGATATTGAAAATCCCGCCCTTGTTGAAGAACGGGCAAGGTGTTTCACGAGCATCCTTAATAATGTGGAGTTAGAGAAATTCGCAGAAATACAGTGAAAGTTGAACTAGTTCTTCAAAAATATGTCTGAGGCTATGTGTTCAAAAATATGACCTTGCAATTTCTAAAAACTAAGGTATTCTACTATAAATCCGCAGAAAGTGTTCGTAATATATTGCTGGATACTTGTAATAATTTATTAAAAACACTTCCTCATTAATTTAAAACATTCCGATTTATTTTTTATAATACATAACAGTGATTTAGCTTTTTACTACATTATATGTTTGTAAAAATAGTAAAAGTAAAAATAGCAAAAAATATTTAAATTAACAAAAAGACGTAATCAGTAATGTGCAATAAAAAACTTAATCTGAATCTCTTAAATTCAAGAAGGACTGTTCCTTAGGAATAAATATATAGACATTCATCAGCAGAATAATGAGAAACTTGTAATATTAGTTTTTAAACTAACACTAGTTTCCTACAATTATTTGCAGTTTTTTATGAGTTCCGCCGTTCACCCCCACCCACCCACCGAACCGAGTTTGGCAGGTAACAGAACGGCATTGGTATGTGACCGTTAATTTTTCACTCGCCAGCAACGATTTGCACTTCCGCTTCAATATTTGCGACGTACGAACAATGAATTAGATGTTGTTCATCCGCGATCTGCCCACTAGCCTCCAATAGTGTGTTCTAGTAGTACATGTGCACGTCTTAATGAGGACTGAAGAACGCGTAGAAACATCGAAGTATTGCAATATTTGGATGTTTCAAAAACATTCCAAAAAGCAATGTTTTGAAGAAACCAAGTGTCCTGTGAAGAAAAACTCTTAGAATAATTTGAATGGGAAAGCCATCTCCGTTGAACAAGTTTTAGCATTCTTATTAATACAGGTTTTTTTTGTATAAAAGTGCCAGGACCTCACAGTCTTTCTAATAGACATTAAACATTTATCCAGGCCCTACTTGTCTTGGTTTGACTAATCTTTTTTGTTTTTCCTATTCAATACATGTTTAATTCAACCATAATTGTTTACCATTAGAAGCTTTATACTCAAATGTTATTACATAATGTATCAATTTTTTTGCTTTAATTAATAATAACAATAACAACAACAACAATAATAATAATAATAATAGTAATAATAGTAATGATGATAATGATAATAATAGTAATAATAATAATAATAATAATAATAATAATAATAATAATAATAAAATTACCATGAATAGGAAGATACTGAGAATACTGATATTACAATATTAATCAGATTCCTTTATTGGATCTCGGCGAGACACAGAAAATTGCTTCGTGTGCTATTCGGATTGTGTTCGCTTTATGCATTATTGACTTCGCTAATAGGACTAATTGTTGGAAATTCGTAACAGGCGTCAGTAATAAGAGAAATGCTGTGTTATTTATCACAAAAGGAATAACAATTTAGATATTTTAATTACAAAACTTTTAATTGCATTGGAATCCTTAGAACCAGTGGTACACTAAAATGTTACGGTAACAAAAAATCACCGGTTTATAGTTTCTTTCACTTATTCGTCACCCTATGTTTTCCATTCGCAAATTTATTTTTGTATGCAGATCCTTGTCACCATTCACGTCCTCCTGTTAAAAAATGCGTGCTATTTTTAAATTCATCATTTGAATTTTGCCCAGGCTCTCGCTCGTCGTTTAGAACCAGAGCACGAATTGTCGCGCGAACCTGGCGGAGTGGCAGGGGGGGGGTGGAGGTGCCCTGGACGGTGCGGCACAATTGACCAGCAAGCCGAAACACGTGGTGGAAATTTGAAATGTCGAAATTACACTCTGTCGCGACAGAAAGCTTGCAGGAGCTGTAGATTTTCAGGCTTTCTCTTTTCGTGACAATCCATATGTTCTAGAGCAGAGATTCGCAATTTTTTGTGGCCAACTGCCCCCTGTAGAAGAAGGTAACAACGCCTCGCGGTATATAAGAGGTGCATTTTATATGAAATGTCAAAATATTGTTGCATATTATCAGGTCCAAAATGTTAAAATGGAAATTAACAAAACGACAACTAAACGTACAATAAATTTATTACCAGTTTTTCAATGAACACAAAATCAACAAGAAATTTAAGCAATGATATAAATACACAATTAACCTGTTTTCGCAATTGCCTTGCGACCTTTCTGCAAACCTCGCGCCGACCGCTGCAGCCATTGCGCGAAGAAAGAGCTGCCGGTGTATTCTCACGCGATTAGTATTTGTAAACTATATTTTATATTTATTTATATTGTAAATATTTTTTTTTAAATATTTCGGTGCTGAAAGGTTAGGTACGCCACGGTCTCCGCTCTTGAGTGCATCAACTCCTCCCCTCCATTGGCCTCTGGAGAGACTACCGTCCCTACGGCAGGCTCCAGGGCCTACAAGAGGCGGAATGACTATCTTGTCTGCGGTTTACCAGACACCGAAAAACATCAAAACAACGTGCTTTTAGCGACACTGAATTGATTAAATGCAACATTACGCATTTGTCCAACAAAGTAACATAATCTCTAACTCAAGTTGTACCATTTCAACTTGCGATTACACATATTTCGACAATAAAATGCGCTGATTGCCTCAAATAACAATTGGGTTAATCTCACTTCATTTTATTTACCACGCTTGCCGGAAATTTTGTTACATATTTTCGTTTTAACCACACTTTTCCGTAGTCGTATCCAGTTCGGTCTCAACGAGTCCTGAGGAGGGACTCTATTGTTTATTCGACATCTTGTTGCCACCAAATTGCAAGCGTATTTATTTAAAAACCAATAAATAGTTATTGAATGTATACTTTGTAAGGAATGCATGTCATCCTCTGAATTTGGGGATTAAAACAGGAAGACCTAGGAGTCAGCAAGACCTAGACCTGATCTTGAGGTGATCGTGATCTTTTTTAACCATCCCAGCATTCGACTAGATGACCAAGGGAAATAAGAAAACCCCGATCAGGGTGGCCGGCCTGGCGATCTACTGCTACGCCCTGAGCCACATCGCTCGGTTTACTATTATTATTATTATTATTATTATTATTATTATTATTATTATTATTATTATTATTATTATTATTGATTCACAAACTCAATTTAATTTTAAACATTGACATCGTGTTTAATTTCTAAGTATTACTAGTGGAAGATATAGTTGTAGAAGAGAGATTAAATTTTTGACCTTGGTATCTGACAGTTCATAATTTAAATGATTAAACATTGTTATCCAGTAATTTCAGTGTTTAAATTGGGTCCTAAATTTACAACCCCCACCCCACTTACACAATTTCTGAAGCCTGCTTTGTTGAGTGGCACTGTGTGACGCCTGGCGTCTGACTGCACCCGTGTGTTCCGCAGGGCTGGCGGGCCCGCGCGGCCGGCCGGGCAAGCCGGGCCTGAACGGAACGCCGGGCGTGCCGGGCATCAGCGCCTACACCTACAAAGGCAACGCCACGCGCGCCAGCGAGCTGCTCATCCCGCCTTCCATCGTGGGTGAGTGAATGCCTGCGGCGGGCACGCCCTGCCTAACGCTGCCGCGCCGCTCTGGCTGGCGTTCTGCGTGCGACGGGCGCTCTGCGTGCGACGGGCGCTCTGCGTCCGATGGGCGCTCTGCGTCCGACGGTCACTCTGCGTCTGACGGTCACTCTGCGTCCGATGTTCGCTCTGTGTCCGACTGGCGCTCTGCGTCCGACTGGCACTGTGCGTCCGACTGGCGCTCTGCGTCCCACTGGCGCTCTGCGTCCGACTGGCGCTCTGCGTCCGACTGGCGCTCTGCGTCCGACTGGCGCTCTGCGTTCGACTGTCGACAAACGTGCAACACATACATTATTGAAATCACCGCATTTTGGAACGTTATTGGACAAAATTTTGCGCTTTCGATAACGGACCACCGTAAATATTTTAAGTAAGGTCAATTTTCAGATCCAGGTGCAAAGAATTTTCGTCAACCAAATACCCAAGCAGTAGAGTACTCCAGGTCCAAATACCAATATACAGTTCACCACTCAAAATTGCAAGTTACCAATTACAATAAATCCAGAATACAAAAACTATCCAAAACTTAAAAAAAGTACGGTGCTTTTAAGAATACCGCGCACTCAGTGGTTAATGTTTTTAACTCTTCTTCCTTGGTCGGAGCGGGTCCCCTCCCTATCCAGAAACACGAGACGAGTCGTCAGTTTCCCACTGCTGTCCATAGTCGCCTAAAGGGCGTCGTCAGTCGAATTGCTTACCTAAGCTCCGTGAAGGCATAGAAGTTATGTAATTCAAGTGTCGCGAGTTGAGGGGGAGAGGGACTCGCGGCATTTGAATTACATAACTTCTATGCTTCACCTTCTTCTATGCGTACCAACTCGTGCAGGGAGAAGTAAAGAGAGAATTCTTAAAAGATGTTTAATCTACTTACCCGCGTAGTGGACCCTTGGTCCTGGGAGTGAGTGGCGAGACGACGGCTGGCTCCATGAGGTTGCGTACAAAGAGGGGCGAGGTGTGAATCCCTCGCCATTTTATAGCCTCTGAACGCTGGCGTCGGCCAGTGACAACTGGGTCACTCGCCGGGGGCAGCGTGTCGCGAGGGCCGGAGTGCTATATCGCGACACAAGACACCATGGATTCCCGGATGGGAGACCGTTTGGGAACCCCGGTTACTAACGGCGTCCAGCTCCTGGTCGAAAGGATAAAAGGCATCGACGACAGCGGCATTAGGAGGAAAAACGACTAATAAACAACGCAACGGAAGTTTTCTCCAACGTTTATAAGGCTAAAGAGACGTGTTGCGCAAAAGTCGCAACGAATGTTTAAAAAAAGTGTTGTATCCCCTCCTGACCTTGACCACACTAAGACAATGGATATTTTTGAAGGGTCGAGAAACAAATTAATGGGAGTTAGGATTTAGTATATATATATATATATTTTACAAAATTCTGTTTAATGCACCCCGTACTGCATCCACGTATTAAGATATTGCGTTGCAGCACTCCGGACAACGACTGATCACGGCACGGGTGGATTTGGTCAGAAGTGGGGGGGGGGG